GGTGAACCTCACTCCTGGCTTCAGCAAAACGCCTCAGATGTCAGCAAAATAACACTGAGCAGATACTCTGCTTATATTTCTTATAATGGAGCTGGGGGTGGTGGTGGGCTGGACATGGGAATAGCCTGAGTACATCTGATCTTCCTCTGACCAGGGTTGTTTTTTGTTTGCTTTCTCTTTAAGTTGCCAAAGATTGAAGCACTGATGAAAAAGGAGAATCAGAAAATCTTAACACCTCTGGTTAGCTTGGACACACCTGGCAAAGCCACAGTGCAAGTGATTATTTTGGCTGATCCTGTGAGTCATAATGGAAATGGTGATTAGATTCGATTTAAATTTCTCTCTGCCATTTATCTTAAACTTCCCTGCTTTTAAACCTGTTTTAGGATGGCCATGAAATTTGCTTTGTGGGAGATGAAGCATTCAGGGATCTGTCCAAGGTGGACCCCAACGGTGACAAGCTGTTGGATGATGTAAGTAACACTGTCAGCACATCCCTTTTCTTTCTGATACAGTCACTCAGGGTGGAAAAAAGACCTTCAAGGTCATTGAGTCCAGCTGTTAAAAATTAATGATTATAGATACCTGTAGACTCTAATTTTCATTCCATGAGGAGTTTTTCTGAGAAGCAAGTTGTATGATCTTCCTAAGGACAACGGGTGAGTTTTCAAAGCTCACTGTGTCCTGGCTGGAGTTTCCCAGCCTCGCTCGTGGGGCAGCTGGGTTGTGCTGGGTCTCACTGGACACATCAGCAGCATTTTGGTGTAAATTGTCACAGAAAACAGATCTTTGAGTCACATCAGTGCAGCTGGCCATCCTCCCGAGCAGAGGGGTGGAGCTGTGTTCAAACTCTCCTGCTCTGCTCTGGTACCACCAGCTGCTTTATTGCTGCAGCAGAGAGCATTGGGTTTCAGCTCTGTTTTCCTTCCCAGCATGTAAATAATCCTCATCAGAATAGCTTCTTTTTGCATCAGAAGGTGCCTCTGGGGTCAGCCCGCGTGGGTGGGAGGCTGGTGGGTGTGGGCAGCAGGGTGCTGGTGCCTCAGCCACTCCCTCACTGTACCAGCATTCCCCCTGCACAGGCCATGGCCGCCGACGGCAGCGACAGGTGGTTTGCTGAGCAGAAAAGGAAGAAGGCTTCTGCCTAGCTGGGGGAAGGACCAGGCTGCTCACTCCTGCCTTGGCTTTCCTCGGAGAAAAATGCCAATCCAGTGTGATGTGCTGCATGACTCTTCAGGAAGAGGGTGCTGTGCTCTCTCGTGCTGGTTGTTTTGTTTGATTTAAGCTTGTGTCTCAGTGCTGCTCTCTCCTCTCCATGTGGTCGCATGTTTCCTTCAGAAAATCAGGCTGGGCTGTGCAGGGTGGATTGAGCACGTGCCTTCAAAACGAGGGGCTGCCAGATGAGAGGGAATCCCCACACATCTGTGTTGTTAGACTTGAAAAAGAGATTGCCACATTCATTACAATATCCAGCTCTAACTAATCAGCTGTTGCAGCTCCGAGAAGAGATTTTGGGGTAGCTGTGGCTGCCAGTACCCCGTGGCAGGGGGAGGGCTGTGCGTGGAGAGCTCGAGCAGTTCAGCTCTCCTAGTGCCTGGTTATTGGGAACTGAGAAATTACCTTCCTAAACCATGTGAATATTTTAGTCTGGAACAAACCCTGTTTTCATTCCAAGAGCTTCCCCAGCGTTTCTTGTTGGGGTCACGTTGTTGATGGGTTGTTTCCACCCCACTGGTGGTTTCCATCCTGTACCAAGGAGCCATCCACATTCCAGGCAGCACTGCACTGTTTGCTGAGGCAACTTGGAAGAAGCATAATATGGGTTTGCAATTACCTTTTGATGAGAAATTGCCTTTAGAATGACAGTGTGGGGTCTCTTCTTTTGGAATGAAGTCGCTCTGCTTTTGGTGGTGGAATAAGGGCTGGGAATACAGGGAGTCATCACCAACGTTGTCCACATCAGGCACACTGCTTGGCTTGTAATATTCCTTGCTGAAACCCTCAGGTTTCACAGAGGAGGGGGTGGGAGGAGCAGCGTGGTGGTGGCCGGGGAACGTCGGTGCTTGTAGGGAACACTTTGAGTTCGGAACAAGAGAAATTCCTGACTGTGATTCTGTTCGAACTTTCTCGTTCAAATTCAGCGACGATCGTCACCCTTAAACGAATAAAAGCGATTCGGGAGGACGGCGTGAGCGCTTCCTTCCAGCCGCCCGGCGCTGCCGCCTAATTGGCTTCTCGGGTGCTAATTAACGGCTGGGGTGGGGGGGCTGTG